CCTAAAATGAAGATCCCCTTGTACTTGCAAAGCCCTAACCAATTATGGGCAGGGCGCTGGAGACGCCTCAACGAGTAAATCCCACGCACTTTGTCACTAGACTTCTTTTCTGTTTTGGCATTAAGGGAGCCACCACGGAGATACTTTCCCTGGATCGGGTTCCAACAACTAATCAAGTGACGGGGATTTCGCAGAAGCTCCGCGGAAGCTCCGCGGAGGCCCCGCGGAAGCTCCACGGAAGCCCCACGGAAGCTACGGGATGGGTTTGGGATGCCTCTGTTGTAATCAGCTGTGCAATCTGTCGATAGTCCAGATCAAGTGCTGATGCAAGCAACCCAATCAAATGGGTCCTGATTCTCGCAATTTCGTTCTGCGGCATGACCCTATGCACTGATTCCGGAGGTTTGAAGCCCTTAAGAACCCTAAGCAGCAATTCAAATAGGCCGCTCCTTCTTTACCGCAGTACCAATTCCCAAGCGACCGCCTCTGGTTTGGAGCCTACTGAAAAACCAGCCCAGCTCCCCCTCTGAATAAGTTACCGAGTGACCGCCTTTGGTTTCAGCCCTCTAAGGCCAGCCCCCCGCCCTTTGAAATAAGTTCGCACTCAATGTATGCTCGGGCTTTGGACGAATAACGCAGAAGACTACCAATCCCTTTCGCGGAAGAGCCGCGGAATCAGCTTAGACGAAAACGGCCGCGGAAGTACGGCGTCGGAAAACCTGCCAGTAGTCTTCGCGGAGGTTTCGCGGAAGGTCCGTGGAAGCTCGCGGGCGGAAGCTCGCGGGCGAAGCCTCCTTACTTCCATTAAATTCATATACCATTTTTTTTAACGGCTCAGATGGCGGGAGCTGTGGCCCTCAACACCCCCGCTTTTGAGCAAGACCCCGTTTGTCATGTCCAATCGTGAATCCTCATCCACAACTGGCATCTGGCATATGTCTCACTGGTTTGCACAGGAGCAGGATTCTAAGAGCGCTTCACGCGAGAGCATGACTTTGCCGTCCCGTCCTGTGAAGTTCGAGGCGTTCCGCATAGCATTCGCATCCGCTCACTCCTCTCTTCATTTTCCCTGAAAAAGAAGATAATCGTGTTTCTGGTTTTGCGCTCTGCCCACCTGCAGCAGGCCCAGTGTGTCGCGTTCAGATTTCACCTGTTCCAGGACCTTGAATTTGAAGGCACCGTGAAGTACATGTCAGAAGAGAAGGGCTACGGCTTCATCGAGTGCCAGGTGCCGGCTTCACAGATATAATGTGACTCCCAAGCAGCAGTTCGTAATGGGCCAATGACTGTAGTGGGCTGCGTGTCATGGCGTGTTCAGCAGGCATGGCAGAAGCTATGTCGCGTGCAGGAGACCTTTGAACTGTTCAGCAGCGACGTGCATGCGGACCTCCCGCTTCTGCATGAATGCTCCCTGGGCCAGCCGGTGAAGTTTCGCATCAGGCAGGTGGGCTCTGGACTTTGGACATGATTTACCCGCGCAGAGCTCACGTGCTGAAATACGATAGCATCCGCAGAGGCTGGGGCAAATTGGTGGACGCCCACAAGTGCGCAAGCTCTCCGTGGCTGGTCCGCCGCCAGACCACCTACCAGCGCCGCACTCAGCTGAATGTTTTGCAGGGTGCCAGCCAAGCCTGCCCCACTGCAATGTATCACAGAATGCTAAGCCCGCTGTCTTGCAGCGCCTGGGCAGTCTGTTCTTGAGCGTTGAGGCCACGTGCCCCTCACTGGGTAAGCATGTGCTTTCCTGGGCATGGCGGGCAAAGGCGCTGCTGCTAGGCGAAGGCCAGGAAGTGGTAGGTCAGCTGGGTCACAGATTTCTCGACAACTCTGAGGGTGCAGCGCAAGTGCAGAAGCTTCATAATTGCCGGAGAATGCGATTTAGTCTGGACAGCTTCAGGTGATTTCACTTTTGCAGCTGCCGCAGCCACCATTCACACGGAGTCCAAGTTGGACGCGACAGTTGTGACACCCGGCCAACATAGCTTCCAGCACTAGAAGCTACATGGCATCATTGGCGCTGCAGGCTTCAGGAAGATCAGTGGAAGGAGCGCTTCCCAAACCACCACGAGGTTTTGGAATTGCTTGGAGAGCTGGGACACACTGTTCGATTCGGGGTGGATGCGAAGCAGGCGCATAGTTCGAAATTACTTCTGCTTCAGAAAGTAAGGTGTTGTTCTTCTCATCTTCGTCCTGGAACAGCTTTGCAAAGTATTGCTGGGATCTTTTGTCGGGGGGAGGGGGAACAAGCAGAGGAGACAGTGATGTGGAAGGGATAGGTGCACACCATGCAAAGCGGGGACTGTAGGATGCGTTTCCTCGACCCACACCCTTTTGATCACCAGTCCAGAATCTCATCGTTCCAGCCAAGACTCGAATGGACAAATATCAAAAGTGCACCTGCCAGGGCTCACAAGCAACATGCCTGCAGGGAAAGTGTCACGGCGGTGCAATTTCTTCAGCATGGCTTGGGAGTGCCTAGCCTGCTGATAGGCGGATTGTGCAAACTACTCCATGGTCATCTTCAACTTCCCAGCTATATCCGCGCAAGAGGAACCATCACCTGATGAACCAAGTGACGGCCGTAGAAAGCTATCTGCCAGCGGAGAGCTGGCATTTCGATTTCTGATGAATGCCAAGGCCAGCCGGGGAATTCAAGATTGGAGCAGGAGGCCTAAACCCTAATCCCTAATCCCCCAACCCAACCTGTGGCTTGATAGCCCTGAGCCAAGCCATCATGTACAGTTGGCCCTCTTGGAGAAGCCTTGGTGTCCCTTCCCGATTCCCTTCCCAGCAAGGCTTCAGCAGACGTTGGGACGCTCTTGGTGCTTGGTTTATGGGGGCGTTGTGATGGCGGTGCAGACACCAGACTTTATGGCCAGGCTCCTGTTGCTCCTATAATTTGCTCTTAGTACTTTTATTCTTCTTATTGCTCTTAGTATTGCTATTATTACCATTACTATTACTACTCGAAAAAATATTAGTGCTGAAAGACTTGTCTCTCGTGACTACTGATGCGTGTTCAGCTTCACGTCATGCCAGGACTGCCATGAGCTGGTGGCATCGGCTCTAGCCCAAGATGGTGCAAGGTCCCTGGAGGATGCGTTGCCAGGACACTTGTCGGAGTTTCCAAGTTCGTATCTAAAGCTGTTTCTCTTGCCTTTTGCTCATTTAATTTGCTGCTGGACAAGCTGGCCATAGAGCCTCTGAACCGAGATGGGTACTCGCGATTTGGTGTGCACGCGGATTACGGCTTCTACAGCGACTTTGAGAAGGCCGGCGCCGTCTTGACCCAACCACAGGAGCTGGAATTCAAGACAGTGATAAAGGTGGAGGTTAAACAAAAGGGAGCAGGGCAGCTTTTGAGTTTGAAGCATGCAATGCTTGTAGACAAGGCTTGTGTTTTTTCCCGCGAATGTGTCCATTAGCTGCAAGCCCAGGAGGGCGTGCTGCAGGTAATTCCAAGAATAAGCGTGCGGTTTGGGCTTAGTCAGCTTAGTGCGTGCTGGTACTCTCGCAGCCTGGATGGAGTGTGCCTCAAGTTTTGCCTCAAAGTTCGGTGTTAAGTAGCTTCCGTTCTCAGCCTTACGGAAGGCGGGATATTCTTTCCGCACAAACTGCCTTGCTTCTTTCGAACCTTGGTGACAATGATGCTTGTTCGTGTGCAGACTAACTGTCGGATTTCAGTGAGAATGACACTGAGGAAAGCTCGCACAAAGAGTGGCATTCACAGGCCTGTTTCATTCTCCGGGTTGTGGCAACAGCAGCGACAGAAGGGGAAAAGAAACGCAGCCGCTGTCTTACTGTGCGTGTGTTACGCGATGCAGCCAATTGGACGCAACGCCTGCCACCAGCCTACAAGAAATACATGTAGGTCTGGTGACATTACCAGAACTTCCCAAGCTCGAGCTACCCAAAGACGGGAGCAACATCCGTCATCTGAGGACAAGCTAGTCGAAGAGTCACGGCCTATTCGTCGAGGTGTCTCTGAAAGTGAGCTTGGCGCCAAGCTGACACCGAGTCTTGCAAAGCGCTGAAAGTGCTGCACTTGCATTGTGCAGGCTCAAGCAGCTGCGGAGACAAGGCCTTGATGGCCCCAAAGACCGGGCCAAGGATTTCGACGGGCGCTTACAGGCTTACACTCTCATGACTCGGCTTGCAGAACATGAAACTTGTAAAGGCCAATGTTGGAGAAGACGAGGAGGTAGGCGACCTCAGCCAGATCGCCAGCCTGATGCCCAGAAATCGGGAGCAGCTGAAGCGTCCTCAGCTGTAAAGATTCCTCGTTTCGCAAAGAAGGATCTTGCAGATCTGAGGTTCTGAGCCCGTGCAGTTGCGAACCGCATGAGTCTAAGCTGTCAATGTGCAAGCGCCAAGCCACAATCACAGATACTTGAGCAGTTGGACCACACTAAAGTGAAATGGAGTCACTATAGAAGCTTGCAACACCAGGAGTTCACAGCAAGAATTAGCTCTCAGGTCGGTTAATACAGCAAGACTTGGCTTTGTGACTCTCAGGTTGCAACCAAAGAAGTTGCTGATGTAACGCCGGATCAAACAAGGCTGGGGGCTCAGAGGCCTTCAAACCGAGAAGTTGTCCTAACCTGCCTGCTATCGCACAAAGGTTCCTGAAATGGCAGCTGACCGCTTAATGCGCGTGATCTCCTGTATCCTCTTTGCAAGGACGCCTTCTCGGAATGTATCTCCATCACGTTCTTCGAGCCCAGGCCTCTGCTCCCTCCAATGGATCATTGCCCGTTCAGATGCAAAAGGGCAACGGATAAGTAAAGGCGAATCCAGGCAACTGTGCTGAATACTGCTGAATGGTAGTCATGATTGCTGCCAAATACTGTTCTAAGCTGTTGCCCGGAGTATGTAGTCGTAAAGCAGCGCTGGAAGCGTTGGACCTTCATGGGAAAGTCGGGGGAAGTTGGCGTATCTTACGGAAGCTGCTCGAAGATACCTGATTTCCTTTGTCATGGCCCAGCATTGACAAAACACCGTCAGACCTTGTATTCTTTGGGTACGAGATTAGGACAAAGGAGAGTGCTCCCAGATTCAAATGTGGAAGTCCCTCCCCATCTTAGCAATTGCCAAGGGCACGCAGTGCACGGAATATGGTTCGTGGTGCTTTGCTTCATCATTCTGGACGCCCTCAAACCGATACTTGCCGCCGGGTTGCAGATGGTAGCTTCAATGATGCAGCGATATCCTGGCACTTCATTTCCTGCAGGGCTGTTGAAATCAGAAAACCCTTGGGGTGATTCTCATTCAACGAAATTGAAGCAGCAAATTTGAGGGCATTTCTGGGATGTTATGTGGCTTTGCTGCGCGTAGTTCTGCGGACCTGAGACCATGAGATGGCCAGGGCAAAGCTCATAAGAACAGTTCACGCTTAACGATGACATGCCGGCAAAGTTGATTTCTTTCAAGCAACCAGCGGGCCGCGCTGGCGCAGCAAACAAAGGCAAATGTGAGTTGCAGCTGCGCATTATCTTGCATGGCTCAAGGTGACTTGGGCTCACCAGTCGCATGCTGCACCTTGGCGTTATCTTTATGGATTTTCGCCAATGACGCCAACATCGTCAGCGAAACGGTTGTTCTATTGAGCAGCGTGGTTCCACCTTTTCCAGGAAGGAAAGCCTGGCTTCATCCAGGGAACTTTTGTCCTGGAGCCGCACTCAGCTGTTGCTTTGACCGCTGTGACCCATCACTTGCAATGTGAAGCTGGAAGAGCGAGATCAAGTTGCGCGGCATGGACAGGCCGAACCAGGGCCAAGAAGCTGTTTCTGCTTCTCATTGTTTCTTGAGCAGTCAAGGGCTACCCAAGACATGATTTAGCCGCAAATTTAGCAGCCAATGCGGTCTACGCTCTGTGACGGAATTTGTAAGCCAAGATTTTACTACTAGGTGACGGAGGCATTGTGACCGTAGCAAGTGGCTTTGGGATCAGCAGCCAGATAGTTCAGATGCCGAGGTTCAGACAGCACTATCCCTACTGGTGGGCCTGTGCATCGCGCTAAGACCTTCGATCTACTGCCGCCGGCCACACTTCAGGAGCGCAGCATGGCACAGCATAGCACGGCTGCAGATCTCTGCACTGCGACGAAGAACACATTGCAACAAGCAAGGAGGAACGAACCTGTAACATAGTTCACCATCTGACAGTTTTGGTATGTGGTCGGATCCTTGTGCAGGCTTCATCCTTTCTGGAGGGCCAGAGTTCGCAGATGCCTCGACATGAAGGCAGGCTGCACTCAACAGCACCTGTGAGTCATACAGTGGCCCTATCACATCTGTCCTGCATTTGGCACACACCTGGCCACTGAACCGGAATTTCCAGCAAGAACCATGACCAAGCTACGTCGTACGAGCTCCTTCTCGTAGTGGTGCAAAAGTGAAGTTGCTCGGCATCTCTCATGGGTTCGGGATATTCTGACAGGATATGGCAGGATCAGCTTTGCATTGGCCAGGGACAAATCTACCATGGGGCATGTGAAAGACTCGAATGACCTGCAATCAGGTGGTGGTGTGGCAGCTGCCCGCCGTGCCCTCAAACGAAACTCACTTGAGACGCAGTGGTCTGGTGTATGTCAGCGCAGGCTGAACCTCAGTTTCCCGGCTGTGATTAGTAGAGTGTCGTCATCTCGTGAGGTGTCCGCATGCCTATGCTTGAGCAAACTGCTTCTGGTCTACGCACTTAGTCGCCTGGATGCAGGCCGGGGCAGACATGTTCCTCACACTTAAAATGACCTCGGAATCGGAGTCCGGCCAGAAAGAGCGCAATGTTCCAGACGGTGCGCACATAGTGCTGTTTCCATCTTGTTCGCCGATCAAATCAAGCTGAATTTAAGTGTCACAAAGGTTGAAGATTGTTGACACATGTTGATGCTGTTGCATGCGCCGCGCCCCGTTTGCAGCCTTGTTGCCCAAAAGTGCTGACATCGTCCTGTTGCCACGTGCTGCCCAGAAGCGGGCCCCTTAAACCTCCAGGCTGTGCGCTGGGCGGTGTCGCAAGACTCAAATTGAGAGTGCCCCCGTGCCGAGGAAAGAGACAATGCAGCCCTGCGATCCTTCATCAGCTTTCTTTGGCTTCATGGGCGTGACCTCTGCGTTCCTTGTCTTTGCTTTGGCGGTGCCGCCGCTGGGTCAGGAGTAACCGGGAAGCAGCCAAACCCCGTGCCCCTTGCCTCTTGCAACCTCGGGCGGCTTGAATCCCACCTGGAACAGAAGTGGGGGGGGGGCGAAGGCTTACGAAGTACCCTGAACCATGTCGCCAGAGGCCTTGGAGCTTGTTTGCTTGGGCTTTGGGGGCCTAGCTTGTGTCTGGTGGCCAGTGGTTTTTGCCCTTCCAGACGCGATAAACATGGCAAGCCGAGGCTCGTTTTTGCCAATTTGGGTGAGCCTTGGCTATCAAGAGCATGAGCAAATTTTTCACTCCGAGCGGAAAGCTATGGCTGATGTTTTTGTCATGTGCGCCTAAGGCAGCTTATGGAACTGCGAAGTCAGGTGTGGGTATTGCATCTATGGGGGTCATGCGACCTGACATGATCATGTCACCCGGCTTTGCAATTTGGGCGGTCCCTGTTGATCGCTGAGTGCAGAGGCATCATTTTATGCAGAATTCAGATCAGGAAGTCAATCATCCCAGTGGTTATGGCTGGAGTTCTTGGCATTTACGGACTCATCACAGCTGCAGGGAGCCCAGAGTTGCCCAAGAGGTTGAAGAACTTTCGACAGATCGGGTGAATCAGCTTTCCGCTCGGGGGGGGGCAAGCTTCAATGATTCATGAGTGTTCAAATCTATGCGTGTGGACAGCCAGACACCCTGCATGTCGCTGATTAAGGTCATTATCAACGGCAAAATGGATGCAGCCAATTATTCGGCCTACTCGGGTGGCCCGGTACCACGCAAAAGTCTTTTGGATAAGTAGTGCGCCTGTGGAAATAGGGCAGGCAGTTTGCGGGTGTCTCAGCTCGGCGGCTTTGAGGATATTGTATATCCACTTTTCTTAAATTGGCAATCATGGCCTTTTATCTAGGTGAGCCTCGAATGGCTGTTCTGTTGCAGGTTATGCGCATCTTGGAGCTGGCTTGACTGTTGGCATGAGCTTCTTAGCTGCGCAATAGGACAGCTCCGCGCATTCGCCACGCGGGCATGGTAGAGAGTACAGTGTAGCAGGACGTGCCAGGACTGAGAAGCAAGGCGCTTGCAGATCCAACAAGCAGCTGTTGTTAGTCATTCGTCAGACAGTCTGAGAAAAGGCCAGACGTAAATGAACGAGTGCCAATTGAGCCCTCCTTGCATGATACACGTGCAAGGCGAACTTCCAACAGTTTGCTCGTTCGTATGCTACAAGTATCACAACTGTAGGTATGTGACGCCGCTGCCACACATTCTCTTTGGCTTTGGCATTGTAAACTAAGTCCACCTACCAGGTTCTTTGGCTGCCGGTTTGGCTATTGGCATTGTTGGAGATGCCGGTGCCACCTGGCGATGCGATACGGAAGGGTAGCCGAAAAGATGATCTGAAGCGCGGATCATGGCAGAATTTAGTTTTGCTCAGGTTCGTGCCAACGCTCAGCAGCCGCGCCTGTTTGTCGGCATGACTTCTGGTCTTTGATTGAGAAAGTTTGGAATGCAGAAGTCTGCTCGGTTTGCATCCGGTGGTGCTTGCCGAACACGAACCATTCTCATTCTGCATGTGAATTCTAAAAGGATTCTGATTTTGATCTTTGCGGAAGCGCTGGGTCTGTACGGCCTTATCGTTGGCTTGGTTGCTCGGCTTAATCCGCATTGGCTACTTTGGACCGGAGATTCATGGGTCTTGACACACGTGCCGGGCTTGCGATGCTGTCTGCGTCAGCACAAGGTAGTCGCTTCTACGGCGGAGGGCAAGGGCAAGGGACTCTGTGGCCAAGCCGCAGCAAGCACACAGCAGTGTCTTCCGGATCCATATGAAGAATGCAGTCTTAATTTGCAGCTTCTCATTATGTCATTTGCAGGCACGCCGTATGCCTGAAGCACCTGAGCACCTTGCGGTGGATGCTGCTGTTTGATGGTATGGGCTGCAACTGCATCTGCAGACAGAGGCTCACCAGCAGCAGCTCTGTAGATAACATCTCATGTGTGACTGTCATTATTGGCGGCTTTCGTGGGCAGTGTTGCAGAAACACTGAAAAAAGAGATCGGCAAGAGCCTGGCAAGTTACAGGGCCAAGGCTTTGCCAACACTGGCAGCAGGCGCATCAGAGAGAGAGGGGTGTGGAATCTGCGAGTGTATAAACGCTTTATGGTGCCTTCTTTGTAAACTTGACTCTACTCATAAAGAAGCCCCCTCAACGATTCAGAATCCCTTTGGCCTGGCGGACGGGCTGTTCACCTTTCGCATCGAAAAAGGGCGAAAGCAATCTTGGATTGCCAGTGCCAAGCCGTCAAAAGAAGCAGCCTCCGTCCTTCTTTCCTCCACTGGCTTGTCTGAGTGCTGCCCTTCGCAGAGACTACATTCTACATCCAGACATGTGGAATTCGACGGGAAATCTTGTGCTGCGTTTGTGTCCGGGGAGGCACCGTGCGGGTTTTTGGCCAAGCAAGCTTGCCACTGGAGCGCAGCTTAGATACCAAGCACGTTAGTATGCTGCATGGATAATCACATAGGATATTGAGAGCCGGAAGAGCTGCCAGCTTCAGCTTTTGGACGCTTGTGGGTATTTTGCGGAGAACAAGACTCGAACGGCAAAGTGACGTGTTCTGAGGTGGGCGTGAGCAGTGCCCTGTTCTTCAACAGGAGGCATGACCCCCAAGCACTCTGAGCAGAGTGCCATTGCCGTTGGCAGGGACGGCGTGAGTTCCTTCATGAGGTACTCTTTGCAGCAGTGGTGCAGCCTGTTGGCCCATCTGGCCTGGGTTGGAGCGCGTTGGAGCGCTTCTGTGTCCGCTTTGCAAAATCCCTCAAATAAATCTCTCCCCTCAGCTCACGTTCTGACTCATTGCGTGCTTCACCCTTTCGGTGTGTGTGAATAGCTGCTCAGATGGATCTTCGCCAGGCGGTGTCGCTGGGCCTCATCACGTTTTACTATGTGAAAGCAAAGGCAAGCTATGGCAAGCTAGTATTTGGCGTGGACTAGGTCGCATACGTCTTCAGAGACATGGTCAATGAACTTCAAAATCCATCACAGCACATCAAGAACGCGGTTCCGCGCTGCAAAGACTTGGATGCTACTTGTGGAAGAAGTCTTACGCTGAGCAGCTTTCGGCTTATCCAGAAGGAAGAGTCACAGGCGTTGCTATGTAGCTTTACCGCAAAGTCACCACTCACACCAATGCCAGTATCCCGACCATCAGGTTCGCCAACATGACATGTAACTGATGGCTCCAGCACAACCTGTGACACATAGCCATGGCTGTCACAGACTCAAGCAGTGCAGGAGCACGCTTATCACAGCTGTTTTTTGGAGAAGGTTGCTCAGATGCAATGTCTCGTTTGGTGAGGAACTCCCCCCCCTTAAGTATGCTACAGCTCGAAGATGGATGTTCATTTAGTGGCTAGCTTGGGCAACGTACAGATTGAAGGTGCGTAGTTACAAGTAGCAGCAGTGGATGAGCGGTGCTACAGGCAAACTGGACATCAGCAATCGGATGGACGATGGCTTCCGCATTGCCGATCCGCAAGTAGATCCCTTGGCACCCGGGGCAGAATGCTTGTTAGTCAACCGGGGAGAGGACGAGATTCTGGAGCGCTTCGTCGAGCGCTGCCGCAAGAAGCTCCGGAAAGCCAAAGATGAGGCAGCCCAGGCCATGGTTCTGGCACTGCTGGTGTCGGATGCCTGTGGGCGTTCGGGCGTCCATGCAGCAGACCTGGAAGCCCGGCATGCAGAGCTGACGAGCAGCCAGCGCCGAGCCTCGGGAGAGCTTTTGCTAGGTGGTCTCTTGGGAGATGTCGCTTCGTCACCAGCTAGGAACTCGCGCCGCACAGGAGCAGCCTTGGGCCCTGAGAGAGCCATTCTGTTCAAAGCAGTGGCGGATTGGCTTGGAACGTTTGGGTGCACTTTGCAGCGCCAACAGCATGCGCTGCACAATGTGGTGAGCATCAGCCAGACACCTTGTGTTGTTGATCTGCTGTTTGATCCGGGTGCCCTGTATGAAGACCCCTCGCCGAGGGCACAGGAGTTGCTTGCTGATAATCATTTAAATGTTTCCTTGGATGTTTTTGGTATACGGTCAGGGGTAATAGCCGGCTCCAGATGCAGAGTAGCCTCCAATGGCATTGAAGCGCAGGCACAGTCCATGTGCAACGGCGCGTTGCGGCTAGCAACCACAAGCAGCCCCAACATGTACAGACCAAAGGCCGATGTGGATCTTAATTCTGTACAGCATGGATGGAATCGCCAACAGCGAAGTTAGTTCAGGTGTAGCTCTACAGTATTTCAGAATATTACAGAAATGCCCTACAGCTCTGCTCGAGGTATCGGCGACTTCTGATGCAGAATGGCAGCGGGCAGGGGAAGGAAATGCCGCCATCTTCGCGCACAGACCTCAGCGGTCATATGCCACGCCCTCCTTGGCATGTCGAGCCTTGGGAGCTGGAGATCTCACGGGGCGATCGAGCCTAGGAGTTTGCTTCATTTTTTTGATTTTGTGCACTTCTCAAATTAGTACCTCAAATAGCAGTCACGGCAGTCGAGCAGATTGGTGTCTGGAAGCAACGCATGCAGACAATGCCACTTCAGGAATTGGCCGGGGCGGCTTTGGGGAGGTCTTCCGCGGGCGATGGGCTGGTATCCGAGTTGCCGTGAAGGAGATGAAGGACAGCTCGCGAGCTCCAAGTGACGCTGATGTCGTGGATTTCTTGCTTGAGATCGCCATGTTATCTCAGCTGAACCACCCGAACATTGTTCGCTTCTGGCGAGGCTCCACTGAGATACATGCAGGCAACCGCAGTCTGCTGATGGTTACGGAATACATAAGGCAGGGTGGTCTAAGTCGGCTTCTTCATGGGCATGGTGGGCCTGCTCTGCCAGATCCATTGACGCTTGGGCAGGCCTTGTCCTTTGCTCTGGATGTGGCTCGGGGCGTGCAGTACCTTCACAGTCAGCGAATTCTACATCTTGACCTCAAAAGCCCGAACGTCCTATGTGCTCCCGTCTGGACTGCCAAGCTGTGCGATTTTGGCCTTGCGAAGATGCGAGGGGAGGCAACATACGTGCAGTCGACGCTGCAAGGTGTGAGTCCAGTCTGGGCCCCGCCGGAGATGTTCGACAGCAGAAGTGGGGGTCTCACAGAAAAGGCCGACGTCTATAGTTTCGCTGTGATTTTCTTCGAGCTGCTCACTAAACAGGTGCCTTTTGCGGAAGTCAGTGCTGCCAAGCTGCCAGCGGCCAAAGCTGCAGGGCAGCTTCCACGCATCCCAACGTCGGTCCCGACGGACTGCGCCGAGCTGATCCAGCAATGCTGTGCTTCCAACTTAGTCGCTCGACCTTCCATGAGCGGAGCGGCAGCGCGTGTCCGGGAGATTGCGCAGACACATGAGATCAACCTTGCGGAGGTTAAGCCGCCCGCTGCTCTCCTTCGTTTTGATGATGACCAGGAGCGCAGGGTACAGGAAGCCGAGGATGCGGCCGCAAAGCGATTGATTGATGTGGACAAGCAGCGTGCGCATCTTCGAATGGAGCTGTCTGAGCTGCACCGGAAGATTGAAGTAGCAAGAAAGCAAGCAGCGGAAATGAGCTCTCAGAACGTCTCCAATGCGGGCTTGCTACAAGACTCGCAGGATGCTGATGATTCCTGGTGCGAGCCTTTCATTCAAGAAGTTGCCGGTGCCAAGTTTCGTTGTTCTCTCTGCTCCAAGCTCTTCCGTGGCCCCGAGTTCGTTAAACGCCATCTCGAGGCAAAGCACAGAGACGAAGCCAAGAGGCTTATCGAAGACAAGTATTTTGATTGCGATGTGTCCCGGGAGGATGCAATCCCTGTCCACCATGCAATGGGAAACGCCGTCACCGGCCTGAGGAAGGGCTTGGAAGCCTTCCGTTGAAGTGCTGGAGACCCGGTGCACCGGCGGTTCCATCATCTGCAAGATGGCGACGGCAACGGCGAGCCAAGCTGCCCGGAAACTGTCATTCAGGGCAACACGAACAAAGCGAAACAGAGATCATCCAGCCGGGCCTCATGTAACACCATGGAATCCTGGATGCTCCACGTGCAGAAGGTCAACGAGCTGGATCACGCGAGGATTGATCCAAAAAATGCTTGGACTCGAAGCCCTTTTCCAATCCCCTTTTGGGTAAAAAGTTAAGCCAATTTGTCAGGTGCAGACCCCCATCCAGCCAGAGTCCTCTACAATGTGGACTTCCCGAAGGACTGCGCCTGTTTGTTGGGTCGCACTTCATTTACGAGGTGACCTCTTGTGGGGTGACGGAGTCAATGCAGGTGTTTGTTGCGCAATAACTCAGCAAGAAGCGATTTGCGCGGTGGCTTGATCGCATTGCAGCGCCTGCAACGCCTTCTCTTGACGAAGCTGCAGTTGTGTGGGGGGGGGGGGGGGGGGNNGGGTACCAAAATGCTTCTGCAGGATTGAAGTGGTGGGAATTTGTTTCGTCTTGGGTTCGATTTGCTTCAATTGTTCCATCCTCAAAGTCTTTGTTTGTTGTGTAAATGCGGCAGCAGCAATGTTTTCGATGCCAAGGCCTCGGAGCTTTGCTGGTAGAGCGCTTTTTGAAGGGCAGTGGAGAGCTGTACGAACAGAAGGCTGGTGTCGCGGGATTTTGCCCTGCGCAGTGGCTGGCGCTGAAATTTTGCTTTGCGTAAAAGCCGGGTTCCTGTGCAAGGAGTTATTGATGTCGTCAGGCGCAACTCTTGTTGGGAGAAGTGCTGGTGAACTCGTTCTTGGTGTTTGTCAAGCCCCCAGAGTTCTCAGTTCGTTGATAAGTTTCATCTTGCGTTGGAGAGCTTATGTGGCTCCAGGTTGTCCCGTTCTTCATTTTTGATCAAGAGGCATTGAGCAGATGAGAGCAGCTGAGTTTGCACGAGTTTGGCGCGCAGGTATATTTTGCAAATGCTGTTTGGCATCGAGGGTTCTTTTCCGGCTGGGATGGCCCACGACTCAGACTCAGGGACTCAGGAGCACGCATTCTGAGCAACGAGGCGCCTTGTTACTTGTTCCCACATGGCGTGTAGATCGCTGACGTGTTGCTAGCCATAGCATCGGAGAGCAGACGTTTTGCAATGTGTGCAGTGAGCAGTGATCGTGGGGATGTTCAGATTCAGGCCGGGTGCTGGCTTGTGCCGTTTTATGGATTCCAGCTGGTTGGACGGCAACCATACTGGTAAAGCCCTTGCCTTACTGGGCTGTTGGTGCCTGAGCCTCACAGCTTGCTACCGCAAAAAGTGTACCTTGAAACCATGCTTCGCACAATGCTGCACGATGAAGCCAATTTATGCTTGAACATCGTTTGCACCATTGCCGGAATTGCCCTTGCTTGACCCAGGCGCTGTTCCAACCTGCTGAAGACGGTGGCCCAAGCTTCATCATCCGCCGGATTCTTAGACTTCGACCATAGACAGCCCAGGGGAGTGTAGAATGTAAAGAAATCGATTCCCCGGATCAGCATACCGGCATGCTTGCCTCAGATTGGCATCAAATGCTTTCAGCCTTGCAGAATTAGAACAGGGCATCCGCTGCGGATGGAAGGTCTTGACCTACGTGTTCTCGGTGGTGCCTCTGAGTTCTGGACCTTCGACATGGTCGGGCCTTTACGAAGCATACTTGCAGCAATCTGCAACTGTTAGTTTGAGTGTTGTGACTTTGTGAGTAGTCTCATTGGGTACTTTCAGAGTCCCTGCAGTGCAGCCGTTTGCAACATGGGCACCAAAGCGCTGCCAGCAAAGCCAGCTGTTAATCAGGATGCGTCATGCAGCCTGCCGTACGTGGCAGGGCACACATCGTGACCTGGCTGGGTCCGCCTTTGACACCTGAACCCGTGTCATCTCCAGTCGCCAGAGGCTCAGCGCCGTGTAAGCTCAGCGTCCTGAACCATTCATCAGAAGGCCACGACCATCCAGCGAGACCTGGAAGACTAAAGGCCTTGAATCGTGCAATAGTTGTGGTATGCCCAAGCCAAAGCCGCCGTTTGATTGAACGATATTTGGGGTCATGAGGCACTTGATGAATTTTTAGGGCTTTCGCAAAATTTGGTCATGCCCATCAAGGAGATACTATGCCAGCGCACGACAGTCACACTAGCTTTGCATTGAACTCGCAATTGCCGCAGTTTGGAACGTGGATCACCTTGTTTTGCGTATGGAATGAAGTCCTGAATTCTTGTTGGTTGGCATTGCCAATGTCGCAGAAGCTTTCACCCAGGGCAAGTCGAGAGGCAAACGAGAGCTCGGATTTATGTGCCCAACAACGCCAGACAGCCGTCTCGTAAGCATTTTTCGTACAATTCCTTATTGCTTCGCATGATCTCTTGGGAGCAAGTTCTGTTTTTGCTCACGTTTTGGCTTCCTACAGTGTTCGGACACTGTTTTTTTTCGAACGCTGCCGACTTCGATGGTCACAAATCAGAGCTTCGGACAATCGGCACGGAGCCACGTTCGCAAAAAGCACATGTCACGTTTGGATTCGATCATTTGCGTGCACAAGATTTTGCAGCACTACATGGTGGTGTTTCCAGCATCTGCAGATGCTGAAACGCGTTGCGGCACTTTGAAGAACAGTTTGCCAACTGGCATCCCTTTCACAGCGTAGCCTGCAAATTTTGTGACTGCTATCGACTAAACTGGCTTTCTGCCCCCTTGGAAAGAAGTCGGTTGAGTTTGACATGCACAGGGGACTAGCTCAAGATACTCTTTTCTGATGTGGGTCCATCTGAGAATCTGCGCTGCTCAGCATCTGCTGCATTACCAGCGAAATTGACAGATTGGTTGCATTTTCGGTCACAGTCAGGTCTTGCTAGCAATCAGTGTGATGCTGGCAGCATGGGGCCAAGCTTCTCATGATCTCCTCATTCATTGCTGAAAGGTTTGGGACGCAGGTCGCTCAAGTCCAGGTTAGCCCCAAGAACAGTGACAGGCAATCTCCATTGGTCGAATGAGTCGCATGCTTGATGCTGGCAGCTACGTTTGATCTCGATGGGAGAAAGAAGCTGTTTGGCGAGTAACTGATAGTAACAGTAACTCATCGAAACTCAAAAGATTGACCGGAAGTGTGAGTGACTTTGTTTGGAATGATGTCGCCAGGCTTTGAGCTTCGGGGCAGACCGCGCAGACCGTGAGACCAGGCAATGTGTGGTTGGAACAGCACTCATTTTGGAATGTTTTTTCAGCAATTTCGGAAACTGCTACCATTGTTTCTTGTTTTTCGACAGGTCCTTGACGAAGAAGACCCTGCCAAGGCTCGATGTGAACACCAGTCTTTACATTGCGACATTCAATTGTCATTTTCATGTTGATCATCGTAGACCAACGGTCCCCCAAATCTTGGATAGCTTGACTCCAATTTGCTCAATATTTGTCTACATTTGGCCACCGCCTTGGGGTATATCCATTCCCAAAAACTCTCAAAGAACGCCAAATAATACATCTGCTCCCTACGCGTAGAGGGGCTCGAAGCTTCGTGGAGTACAGTGCAAGTCTCCCAGACTTGTGGGCCTTTCTATTTGCGTTCAGCAGCTTGATCAGGCATAACGGCATCTCGGAGATGAAGCGCGTCGAGGTGTGCCAATCCACGGATTGTGAGGATGGAGTGACACCGGGAATGAAAGTGGTGTTAATACAGGTTAAAATGTTAAACTTTACGAAGGCAATGGTCAAACATGAGCAGCGCGAAATGAAAATTCTGTGCCAATATCATGGTGACCATTGAAATCTATTATTGAGATCTATTTTAAAAATTCCAAAATGAGGCGCCCTTGTTCTTGTTCTGGCGCTTGAAAGCAATGGATTTGTGAGGCGGACTGGAAGCTTGATAGCTCCTACCAGATGCAGGCGCCAAGTTGGTCTTGTGATGCAAAACCGAATGTAACCGCAGGGGTGGGGATCCTCATTTTGCTCTGTAGCCATTTTTTCCAGGAGTTGAGTGTCAGAGATTGGGACCCAATACAAGCAATAAGCCTCAGCAGAGCCTGCAATTTTTTGAGGACCTTGGGAAAATAGAGCAGATTTTGTTTGGCTCAACCCTAAGCCCCAAACCCTAAACCCTAAACCCTTAATGGGGCATTCCAGAGCCTCCTTTTCTTGCCAGAGTTCTTCCAAAATGATTGAGGCGGCTCCTCCACGGCATCGGTCGAGGCAGACGAGCATTGAGGAATCTGAAACGGCCTCCACGTTTTCTCAGTTCTCGAGACAGTACTCCCCTCCGCATAACAAATAGCCCAGATGATGGTGAAAGGGCTCCAGACAAGGCATTGTATTCTGGAGAGACTCACATATTTATTGCAAAGGATCGGATAGACTCACGGGACAGCATGTTGTTTGACGGGGGGGTTTTGCTGCTGGAGGGAGGTGATTACATAATCAACTCATCAAAGGAGGTAATCCCTCTTTTGCGCCACAGGCTGCCAGTGGCTGCTTTCAATATATCACTACATTGAATGCTTTTGGAGAAGTGCAGTTCTGATTGTGTCCACAGCGTTTCAGAAAACCATATCCTTTCCATGTCAGATTTGATGACTTGGTATATACCCGTGATTTCGGATGTTGCCTGCTGTTGTCATCGCAGTGTGCATGTGCGTGGGTGGAGCGGTTGGCATATGAAGTAGGTTGCAGCAGCAATGCAACCTCAAAGTTGATGATGGGAAGTGTGATAGGCCCATAAGTGTTATATGCAATGCAACATTGGTGGCTGCCCATGTGCTATCAGCCGTCTACAGCCAACCTGCTGGAAATACACCTTCAGCTGCCACACAGGCTTCAGGCTTCATTGAAGACATGCGTGGCCATGTCATGTACAGGAATCTGTGAGTTGCCGGCTTCATTTTCTGCTGCGTTCAGCGTCAGCGAAGTCCACGAAACTGAATTTTCTAGGGTCCCACGCGAGTCCCTGAAACAGGGGGCAGCAGGCTACAGTAGCTCGCGTCATACTGAGTTGACAGAATGTCAAAACTGACTCTGCTGGCGTCCCCACTGCCATTTAGCATGTCGGCTGGAGGGTTGAAGTTTGTTGAAGGTGAACCTTGCATGTGCAGTGCAAAAGGCGCATGACTCGTGGCGTTCATTGATTGATTTTGGCCGGTGCTTTGGGCTCCATGTAGCGCGTACTGTTGACTGAGCAGACGCTGCGGGTGTTTGGGCAGCTGTAGTTGGCATTTGCACATGGATGTCGAATCCGGCGTTCGCGTTCTAGCAGAGCGACCTGCAGATGATTTTGAGCCAACAGAAGAGGAGGTGAAAAATTATGCAGAATGGTTAGGCCTGGACCCCAAGGAAGACACGGACTTAATGTACTTGGCAAAAGAGGGGTTAAAAGCCCCTCTGAAGGATGGCTGGAAGCCATGCACCAACTCAGACAATGAGATTTTCTACTTCAACTTCCTGACTGGTCAGACCTCTTGGACTCATCCAGCCGATGAGGCTTATAGAACCATGGTTCAGGAAAAGAAAAGAGCGCGAGGACAGGCAGTGGGTGTGCCAGTTGCTCCTTGGTGGCAAAAGCATGCAAAAGCTAATCAAGCCGGCTTTCCAACGACAAGCCAGATGACAATTGCAATTGCTGCTGCAACTGCTAGTTTCGCTGTCCTGTTCGTACGTTTGATGATCCTAAATGCCTTGCAAGTTTCTGTGTTGGATGTTTGCATGACTGCTCCTCCTGCTTTTTGAATAGGGGAGGGCTGGCCTGGCTAAGGTACACGCTCCTTACAGCGGCGTTGGTCACATTCCAGTGGAGGGACAGCCCGCAGGCTTTTGCGGACTGGCCCGGCGGATACTGTCTTGCTGTCGTCGCAGAGACTTGCACTCTCACACGCAGTAAGCCTTAGTGAGTTGACTTTAGGCAAGTGCTTGGGTTGCATCTTCAACTCACATGCGTGGAATCTCTCAGAGATCCCTACTATTTAGGATGTGGGAAAGGATGCAGCCCAGGCTGTCTCGCAAATGTTATATAGATTTTCCGCTGAGTGACTACAAGATGCCAAGAATGGTCTCTTTCAATTCGCACGGAGAAGCCGTGCTTTACTCTGACCAACAGTCTTTCGAGCTCGCCCCAGGATTTATAGCCGAACTGGCTCACCAGCTGAGGCGCTCCTGTCATGTCACCTCCTCACATCACGGCCTGCCTGCCAAATAACTTGCTTAGACCGCACGCGTGCAAGAACCAAGCAGCAAAAGGAAGAAATCAATGAAAGGCTGACACATTCCCATGGGCATCGCGAGGTAGTCTTGCAGTTGTCGGTCTGAGACCGAGGTGTCTCCTGCTGTGGCAGAAGCATGGCTTACCATGGCGCAAGCATCAGCTTGGGATGTTGCAGGCTTCTCTCAAGCAGACGGCATGGGTAGCTCAGGACCGCAAAATGGCCTGATAGATGGGACATTTCTGGGCTTCAGCACGAAAAAATAATGCAGCAGCATGCTCAAAGAACATGATCAAGGATAAGCATTTTATACAATATGTAAAGCAAGCAGAAGTACAGAAGTGCTTTGTTGGGAAGCAGCATGGTGAGTGGAGCGCGGCACTTGGCAGATGAGCCGCCAAGCACACTCCTTTGCACAGGAGCCTAAGCTGACACTGTGCACGTCCCAGCATGTCTCGCAATCCAGGTTGTTTCTCTTTTCATCCTCAACCGCAGTGTCCTGAGTGATGACTGGCTCAGTTCAGAGAATCGGAAGCAAGAAGCTTCGATTCTCGGAGTTGCAAGTGTTTGTTTTCCGAGGCAATGGATCACTGATCTATAGCAATGAAAGAGAGGCATTCTATTGCAGACAGTTTGGATGGGCATGACTCGCTTGGCAAGAACAGGGCGAGCTGAAGCTAGAGTGCCGAGCGCCTTTGGCAGGGCGCCCCGCCACTGTCGTCAAATGACAAGATCAGATTGTCATCCACATTTCACGGCTTGTGTCTTACTGTGGCTTACTTTTCGATTGGATTCACTTGCCAATCATGGAAGAAGGCTGCAGGTGTTACTGCTCCTGCGCCTGCTAAGGCATCAGCGCCATTGCAGCGCAAATCTCGCCCTTGAAACGAAGTACAGGCAACCGCAACACCTAGCTGAGAGAGCAGAAGCCCCAGAGACTCGGAGAGAGAGCTGCAGGCCGCCTCGGATTTCTACAGCCGACCGGCATCAAGTCGCTGGATGCGGACACGCTACCTTTCAACAATTTGTCGTGGAATTTCCTTGTTGCCTTTGGGAGTGAACATTGAGTGCTACTTGAGGTTTCGACTGCAATGTTTTCACACCGCCACCGGTATGAAGATCTTTTGCGTCCTTCTTCCGTTCCATCCCCAGATGCAAAGGAAGTCGAGGTCTAGAAACAGGCGCAGGTGCGTGACATGCACGACCATAGCAAATAGGACCTGCCATTCGCGAGGCCATACATCGAAGTCGATTCCTTGCTTCGGCAGGCAATTTGCTCGCAGAGTGATTGTCAAACAAGCCAAGGGGCCAACATGTCCCGGGCCGAACACTTTCAAGGCAATGACATGTAACGAGGTGAGACGGCAAAGCTCGTAGCTAGACTTGTACATGCCGTGTTGACAAGCTGGTTGCCGTTTTGCCACCCAATAGCCCCGAAGCCCTCCATCGCCAGCCCTGCTCTCGGTGATAGGTTTACGGCCTGTACAGTGACTACGTGCAACCTGGCAGTTGAATATGGCTGGAATATCAGGCCTCCAGTCAAGCGGTAATGGCAGTCTGTAGAATATTTTCGGCATGAAGAAATTCTGACGCTGACATAGCTTTCGGGACAGTAGCCATCTAGTGCGATCTACAGATACGTTTTCGTCCTATTCTGTTCTCACATGTGTGAGCAGTTGACAATGTTGCTATCTCAGGCTCAAAAACCCTTTCTACGAGTTGGACATGTCCTTATCTCAGCTTTGCAAAAGGGATGCCCCAATGCAACAGTTGCCTGATGCCTCGCCGGTGCAGTTAGTGGGTCAAGTTCCGAATGCCACGGTGTGTCCTCATCGCAACGAGGCCTATTCGCTTTGAGCTCTTCGAACGGGAGGTTCAGCGAGCTCTGGCCGACTTCCAGAGGCGCCTTACCTGCTCATACTGTTGAGGTTTGAACTTCTACCCGCATGGCGTTTTGACAAGTTCTGGGGGCCTTTGGCACTTGCATAGCCGATAAGCCACCGGGTCGCTTCTGCTGGCGACTTTGGGCATACCAAAACATTTCACATGACATGTTTAAAGACGCACGCTGCTTCAGGTGACCAGCCTGGCCAGCCTGCGCATCACCGGAGCTGCCTGAAGGACGTATGCTGAATGCCTACTCGTGGTGGACGCCATCCTTCCTGTGGAGATGATCCTGCAGGACGGAGGCGGGTGGTCATGGCATCCTGCGCTGATAACAAGCCGAAGACGTGGTGACGAAGCGTGATGGGTCTGGCGGGTCTAGCTGGGTCCAACCAGGAGATGTGTGGCTTGGACAAGATTCCAACGGAATGCAAGCTGGAAGAGTGCGCAGCTGCTTACTGTAGCACCGCGCTGTGTTTGTGCTGCATCAGAAAAGCTAGACGGCCGCAACCGCAGCCTACATTTGCATCATTCGATGCCGAACTTGTGCTGCCTGCAGCAGCAGACATGATCGAGCATTGGGCTTCGCTGACTGCCAGCCATCCTATGCTCAGGGAGGCGGAGGGGACAAGCAGGGGCCAATGGGCCAAGCAGGCGCTTTGATGAGTCAGCAGGGTGTTGTTGTGTGTCTTTGCCCTGCCAGGGCAGCCATGGCGGAGACGATGCGGTCCTGGGAGGCCAAGCAGATGCGGGGCACGCCCCTCAGAACGGGTTGACTCAGTTGTTTGAGCCATTTCGTGATGCCTCCTTCCAGGCGAGCCTGCAAGGAATTGGAGCCCTAACTTGGCGACCAGCATCGATGGACACCCGGGGTCTGCTTGGCCAGAGAGGCCAGAGCTGACGAGGAGAGCTTTGCTTTGCTTTGCTGGCTTTGGATGGCTTTAGGTAGTTGTCGTCGCTTCTTGCCCTAAGTTGCCAGGATCCTCAGCTCCTCTCGCGCGGGCCGCATGCACTGGCATCGGAATCAATTCGCAGAAGCCTCGGTTAGAGCCAAGACTGGGGCGAGGCATTTTCTAAAGACAATGTATCAAAGAGCACTCGATGGCAAATACAACGATTTTGCTTTTAGACCGAATTCGTGTCTCGTTCGCAGATCTTAGGAGCTCTCATGGTGGAGTGTGGGCTCACTATTTTACTATTAGTGTTACTAATTATTACTTCGGTGCTAACTAATTATTATTTTCACTATTCTTACTATTATTACTAATTATTACTATTGTTCCGTATTGGAAGCCCCAGGTGCCATTACCGTGCCGGCCTCCGTGCCGTCCTCAGCTTGCGCGCTACCCCTTGCTCTTTTGCTTGTAGTAATACATAGTAATGATAGTAATACATAGTAATAATAATCATTAGTAATAACAACAGTGATAACAGCAATGACAGGAATAGCAGTAGTAATAATAACAATAAGGGTAATAATAACAGTAGTAATAGTAATGATGGTAACAATAGTAACAATAGTAGCGTTTGCTGGTTCACGGGCTTGGGCCTTGCAGACAGTCTGGTCGAAGTTTTCTGGTTGTGGGTTATATAGGGGCTAATGGAAAAGACAATGGAAGCTACTATATTACAGAGATATATAGGGATTATATAGGGGTCATATTGTGGATAATGGAAAGGAACATGGAAACTAGTATACTGAAAGCCTCCAAGGAATTTGGACAAGCAGTTAGAAGAGTTCATGCCACCAGAGCATCGACAGCACCTGATATACTTGGCGGCGTCCCCAGCTCACGAGCAAACATGATAATGCTAGCCTCGTTGTTATAAAGGGGGTGGCAATGATAAGATTCACCGGGCCAGAAAAAATCTAAGATTTGAGTTTTTTAGTTTGATCTTAGGTGCGAAACTATGATTTACTTGGTTTGCCTATGCACATACTGGGCGTTGAGGGGTGCTTTTTAGAAAAGAGTGGTAATAGTCTATTTCCCCGACCGCAAAAAGGAAACAAACCATGGTTTGCAATTGGAATCAAGTTAAGAGAACACTCCTACTCTTACTCTTAATTACTATGAACCCTGCTCTTACTCCCACTCTTACTGCTACTCCTCCTTTTACTACTCGTGTTCATACTCCTACTCTTGCTCCTACTCAACTAGTTCAGGCCCCAGAGTTTTTATTACACCCCCCCCCAATTTTATAGACCTTTGTTTTGAGATTAGCCGAATCTCCGGGGGGTGTGTAATGTAACGAGCCTAACACTAGTTCCGCTAGTGCTCGGGTAGTATGGCCATGTACGGCCTGTGTATGCGTGCGTTGATTTGCTGAGGCCCTTTATAGGGACAAGGTTGACCAGCATCAGGCCAGCTTTCTGTTGAATCACGATGTGTGTGGCTGCCTCTGACGTTAAGAGAGCAGCTGACCAGGCGGCGATGGCCAGGCCAAAGAGCCCAGAAGGGCAAGCCGCGACCTCAATGCGTGCACTTCCTGCGTGAAGGGCCGACAGCACCAGTCCACATGCTGGACAAACAAGCCATGTGCAACAGCTCAAGATAGCTCAAGAACTCAAGCACCTTCGGAGCTGCAGCAAGCGCTCGTGAAGTGCAGGCTCGGAGCCCGTCGCCAGCTGAAGAGGCACCAGGGTTGCAAAGAAGTGGCGTGGCGCATTTAACTGGTCCTTGCATGTTTTGGACGTAGCTGTATTTCTGCCATGAGGAGGATGTTGAGATGCATCCAGCCGGCTTCGCTGCCACTACTGGAGGAGCTATGGCCAAGCTCAGAACGTAGATAGATTGAAAGCAAATGATGAACCTTTTTCAGATGGAACGCCAAAGCTCACACTCCAGATGTTTAGTTGGGACATGCCTGCAAAAGACGCTGAAGTACCAGGCTTTGCGCAGATGGCAGTTTGTGCATGGTTTGGCATGGAAGATTGCAGAGACTGAAGCTGTTCTGACCCTAAATACTAAGTTGCTGTGAGGCATGTTCGATCACCCTGGCAAGCTCAGCGACCCAAAGCCCTCCTTGCAGATTTTGGCACTCGTTTTGAAGTAACCTCGCTCCAAGCTAGCTCAATCTCCTAGTAACTGGATCGTGATGGCAGGCGGCCACACACTGCGGCAGCAGCACATACTGCCACAGTGCTCGCCTCTTCTTTTTTTAAGCGACCACGTGCAACGCCCTCCAAGATGGGATATCAAGACAATGCACATCAATTTGCAGACAGCGTGATGCAGATTTTCTCCAGAATCATGTCAACCCAAAAATCTGAGGTGAAGGCCACTTCGGCGAGCGGTTTGGGCTACCTGGACGAGCATGTAGAGGCATAATTGAACTCCAGTAAGGCTACATACTGGAGTCCAGAAAGGCTCTCCAGCCGCTGTCTCGAGCCATTCTCTGGTGGGTCAGATCCCAACCTCCAAATACCCCGGCCGATTCCGCGCCAGAAAAGATTCAACGTGCCCTATGGCAGTTTGAGGATGCAGTAAAGCCAGTGGACACAAGCAAACCATGCAGGCGAAGAGGCTTGGGAAGCTCTTCGATGAATGGGTTTCGAAGCAGGACATTGATGCTGCCCGGTGCTCAGCCATGGAGCAGCCGTCTTGCCGAGCAAAGGCAAGCCCCCAAAAAGGAGCCAGCCCAGCCAAGCCGAAACTGAAAGACGAATCGTGTAAATTGACATGACACAAAACGCACGCGATCGGTCGGTACCATGGAAAAACATACAACATGTGACACGTACTGCATGTTTTTTTTTGCATCCCATGTTGCAGTAGGATCCAAATCCAGATCTAGCCGCAGTGGAGTTTCGCTGCAAGGCATATGAGAGTGTGGCCTTGCCCAGTCCCCCTCGCGCGGAAGGTGCGCTGCTGTGAGCAAAAGCAATCTGCATGATTGCGGCATTTCTGGACAGGCCGTCGGGTGAAGGTGGAAACCTCTCAGGCACGCCGCTGTTGCAGTTACGGCATGCGAGCCAAGGGGAGGCGTAGGTTGCATCGAAGCAGAAAAGGCACTTAGAAAGATGCAGCTTTGGCTTGCTGAAGCATACGTGACGGAGGTGAAAAGCAAGAGGATGATGCGCTTCGCCAGCAAAGGCTTTGATGCATTTTGAGTGGTGCTGCAGGGACAATTGTTTTCGGAAGAAGCCAGTCTGCCGCATTTATGCTAGCTGTCCTGAGGTGCTTGCTGGCTTGAGATGCGAACAAACCATGCTTGGTGACAATTTGGCACACTGTCGAGACTGACTGTAGACCTTCCGGGAGGTTGCAGGAATTCTACCGGCTCCACTACGAAGAGTACTCAGCCCGCTTTGAGCTTAGTGGGAGGACGTTTTGGGGATCAGATCCCCTTCCCAAATGGCTTACCGTCAAGCCATGTCAACCTCAGAAACCCCGTATTCTCTCAGCTGAGGCCAAACCAGAGGAGGATGAAGCGTGATGCTCGGAAAAGGGCGTGAATTGAAATTCGCTGGCCTAACATGTCAGGCAGATATGATTGGTAAGCTTCATTCTCTGTCCGAACATTATCAACCCTCGTTGTAGCCGCTTGCTCTGAACTTGTGTGTTCAGGCCGTTCTCCAAGCAATCAATCAGCCGACTGCGCCTCAGGTAAGCTTCCTCGGAGATTATCCGTCTGTCGGGACGGCACCGTCCCGAGTCGGGCAAGCCTTACAGAGCTTTGCACAGAAGTCATTATCAAGTGTGCAGCCGCAAGGTTCAGCTGTTTCCAGCAACTTGTTACCCAGAGCAACAGCAATTGCTACCGCAGGCGTCAACCTGGCACACTCGGAGGCCTCCGGTCGACAAGCGGAAGCTGGACCGCTGCCTTTTTTTTGTCGCGCTTGCCACCAACTGATATTGCCTAGAATTCGAGAAGAGGTGGAGCTGGGAACGGCTTAAGATCCTGGAGCAGTCAGCATCAACTTTGAAGCCCTGTGGCGCAGGAGCGCTTGTGGATGGTGATGACCAATCCAAAGGCTGCATGACTGGAGCTGTGTCGCTGCTGCTAGATGGGAGTTTGGCAGCCTCATTCACTCCCTCAGGTAGACCTTTTTTCACACAAGCTCGGCCCCATCCTTGCAGATTTGCGGGTACTGCGTATGAATTCAAGACTGTTCAGCACGCTACGGACCATCTGCAGTGTGGCCGGCCAACCAAGCGGATAAATTCAGTCCTACCTACCCACTACCAGCATAGCT